ATGTCTGTTCCCAAAAATAGGCCCAATCAAAAGAAAACTAGTTAATCTAAGCAATCTCTAACATAGACTTTTTATAACTCAGTCCTGAAATAAGTGTGAATTACAGAATAGTTAGTTTTTAATTTAAAATGATTATTATCTTGTGAGGAAGTATCGCAGTATTTTTCTTCCTCACTGATCAGCAGGAAAAACAAGATATAAACTGGCAAATGGTATCTGGAATACATACAGATAAATGTATGCATTTATACAAGTATGTAATACACTTTATATATAAATATATATATTTAATCAGAGTAAGCCTGCATAAGCTGTGTCTTAAGTGAATGGGGTTTGGACTCCATAGTGTACAACAAGCTCCAACATAATATAACATCTAAGGAGCAAGAGAAATATCTCAATGACATAGGCATATACGGTGAGGAGATTGAAAGGAGAAGTACACCCCTATTTCTGGTAAGAACATAAGATAAAACCACATTCTCTGTGTTAGTCAAGGACTAGCTTTTATCTGCTTGATATGTACATAGCTCAGTTTGATTGGCTACTTGATTCTCATCATGGAAAACTCTCACTAGAAATATTTCATAGCTCTGAATATGCCCAAATATATTATATTTGCAGTGTAATATATTTGCAAATGTAATATGAATATAAATGAAAAATCTAAATATATTTGCAAATGTATCTTGTCTCGTGTGTGTTTATCACTGCACATCTCGGGCCTGGGTATATGCATGTTAATAGTTTTGACTCTCATGCTTGTCATCTACGGACATATCCTTCAGGAATTTCTTCCTTCCATAGAACTGGAAGCTCAAATATTCTTGAGCTAGCTATCATAAATATTTAACAGAGAAATGCAAGCTCTGATAAAAGAACATATCGTTGGGTTTTTATATTTTTCCACGTTTATTGAGATATAATTGACATACAACATTCTGTAAATTTAAGGTGTACAACGTGTTGATTTGATGCACTTATATATTGTAAACAGCTTTTTAAAAACTGGATCTGAAAAATTTAGGCGGTGTTGTACACACAGAACATGCATAATTCAGTGAAAGTAACACAGCTGAGCTATGGGATTTTTTTTTGTTTGTTTAAAAGTAAAATTGTCAGCAAAAAACAGTCACATAGATATAAAAGAAATATTGGAGTACAGATTGCCAAATTAGAACTGTAAACTATACTTATTACAGATAACAGACAAAAGTTTCTGAAAATTGAGCAATTTCTAGAAAAACAAACTGCAATTGGAATGGTTTAGGGCTAGCTTGATACATGAATATTGCATCTTCCGAATTACTCAATATTGAAGAATTTGTTAATTCCTAAATAAATTTATTAATCAATCCCTAATTCCTAAATTATTAATTTATTAATGCTGCATCCATAAACTGTTTAAATTTTCTAAACTCTTGAATTAATTATTTTTCTTTGCAGTCACATGAGTTAGGTAATTTTAAAACATGATGTTGAATTTAAGTACCTTGAAATATAATTGACAACTGGCTTCCTAATTGTCATGAAGATAAGTCAGTTCTAAGTTACTTATATGTAGCAGCACTTTTGATGAATTGCACATTGTCACATATCATGAGGTAAGTAATTGGTTCATTTGAGGAAAGGGAAAACCTTAAAGCCAATTCAACAAGAAAAAGATGCACAGATTTCCAACTTTCCCATTACTTGCATTATAGAGAACTGTCAGGATACACGTCATTTGTTTGACAATAAGTGTATGTTCGTGATTTCATAAATGAATTCTCTTCTGTATTGCTATAATTGTATATTCTAATAACAAAAGGGTGACTGACTTTATCCATGAGAAGTTCTACTAGATGATCTGGTTCCAGCCTCATCTGGATTTAGGTTCCAGCAATTCACAGGAGTTATCTGGCATCAGCTGTTGGGCAGATCCTGGAAGTCTTGGTGACTATGGAACATTGCAGCCCTGCTACCAGGATGTGGAAGCCACAGGAGATATGGGAAACAGAGGTTGCATGCATGCCCTCTGTTTGAGAAGGAAGAGGCAAGATCCGTTCAACAACTGTCCAGACAACCTAGATGAAGAGCCCAGAGCCTCTTTTGGATAAGCAACTTTTTGCATCACAGTAACGTCAGTGTTAATGGTGACATAACTAAAATACAACATTCTGATAAGAAAGCATTCCAGTTACTATTATGTGTAATAAACCACCCCAAACTGAGTAGTATAGATTAATATTTGATTACTCTTATGAACTATTTCATCAGAAATATGGGCAGATACTGTAATCTGTTTCCACTCTATGATACAACTCAACAGTGTAGCACTGGCATCATCTGGAGCCATCTTCAATCAAATGTCTGAAAATTGATGTGTGCTGGCGTAGGGAACCTTGGCTAAGCTGTCAATCCTTAACAACCATACCTAGCTATTCCATGTGGCCTTTCTGCAAGGGCCAGTTTAAATTTCCTCACACAATTCTGTCTGGGTTCAAAGAATAAGCATCTAAATAAAGAAAGGCAGAATTTCATGACATTTTTATAACACAGGCTCAGAATTCAGAAACATCACTTTTGCCATATTCTATTGATCAAAGAGGTCAGAAAAGCCCATCGGATATAAGGGAGGGTGAAGTCAAGGAAATCCTATTGATGGGGGAACGTCAAGGTTCTAGAAGCACTAAGGGATACAGAATATTGCTTTGGCATCTGTGGAAAATATAATATGCTACGGAGAGTTAGAAGCACTGATATCATACACTTATACTCAAATTATTGTAAAAATATTTGAATTTACTAGCTTCATTTCCCACTTTTAATCAAATTAATTTTGTTTTTTCCTGGAAAGCATTATTGTCAGATAGATAGCAGACTTAAAACAGAGAGTTGAGACCACCTTGGAAAAGCAAAAAAGGTGGAAAATTCTGAAAGTGCCAAGCACTGTATATTTGTCTATTAATTGACTCATGTTGAAATAAACCTAAAACAGATATTAACCTTGGTCTAAGAGGATAATAAAGCTTCCTTTTCTTCCTTTCTTATTTTCTTCCTCTTCTGTTTCTTTTTGAGCAAAGCAAAAAGAAAATAAAAAGAACTCAATCCATCAGCCTTTGATTTGGGGGTTGTTTTTGGATTTCTAGAGAAACTTGTGAGAAACTTTATGAGGAGTAGATTTTGTCATCTGGGATTTTGTGTTATGTTTGTCCTTTTCTTAGCAGTAATCTTCAGTTTTGGGGTTTTGAAGGGACCAAGGCCATCAGAAAGTTTCTTGTGGGAGCTAATTACATAGGATTTGTTCTACTTAATAAGAAGGTGACAAGTAAACAAGGGTGTAATGAATTGTATGTGCTAAATTTCCTTTCATATTGTTTGATTCAAATCAATAGGGTAGGAAGGCCGACAGTGATTGATTCTATTTTTCCAGATCACAGAATTTGGTACGTAATGGTAGAGAAGCAAAGATATTCTAATAATATTTAAATATAATATGTAAACGTCACTGAATATTATAATTATTGAATTTATTAACAGATCACTTTACATTATAGTTATACTGTGGAGGTCTTGGTTAGCATTTTCAATACTGTTGTTTACACTTAATCAAAAGACTTGTCAGTTTTTTGAGTCAACAATACAATTTCATTTGACAGATCCTTGGTATTTAAAATGGAAACGAATTTAGGATTGAGTAGAAAATGATCAAATGCATCAAAACAGAAGTAGCAAAAAATGATGATTTTAAAGTGTGCTATTTTTACTTTGAAATAATCTGTATAGTTGATTATCTGGTTCTTTAATTTTCCTTTAACATAAATGACAATAGATATAACCTCTCTAATCCATATATGTTTTAAAACCTAAACTCATGCTAATAGATGTAAACTGACCCCTGGATTTTACTTCCTGTTGTTATGTCAGAGTTTACTTTCAAGTAGGACAGACAGTTGACTGCTCATCAGCTGGCATCCATTATCATGTAATTGTAGGTTGATTAAGATTGATTTGTGACTCTACTGCTCTAATTAAATGTTTGAAATGTCACTGTATCTTACTGTGTGTTATGACAGAGATATATTTTATTTATAAACTATGTTCCACTTTGATCTCAGTTTAGCCCACTATTAATTTAATTTGTATCAAAATATCCTTTGTACATCCTAATAGTACATAGCATTCCATATGAAAAAGGCTCTTCCATTCAAAAAAAAAATTTCTCACATTTTTGATTCCCACAAAAACTTTCAAGATATAAGTGTAACTCCCAAAAGGCATAGGCTTTTGGAAATAAGGCATTTATATATACCAAGATTTTACTATTGTTCATCAAAATTAAAAGAAATGCGTAAAAATCCCTAAGGAGAAAATGTAATATTGAATAGATTTTATAGTTTTTGCCCAAATTTATCAAAGAAAATAACCATTTTCTGTAAAGTCATGTTTCTAATGTGGTACATAGGTTATGTAGATTGTCAAAGATAAAGCAAATTATTTGATTACAGAATTTAAATCATAATCAGAAAAAAATGCAGTTTAACAAGATCTTATTATCATCATCACAACCTTCTACAGCTGTTTTGTTGAAAGCAAGATTCCATAAATTGTCTAAAATCCACACATGTCCCAAAGGCCTTCTTAACCATATAATCCGCTGCTGAAGTGAATGAGTACGCTTAATCCAAGAATCAACATTTTTCAGAGATGTGGATTTAAGTGCCCTCATTCACATTCATAGCTACTCCTCTGGTGACACGGAAGAACACATGTGACGATGGCAGCTCTGATCCATAAGAGCATGTCCATCTGAACTTTATAAGCATTGATTTTTTTCCTGTTTCGAAATCAGCCCTATTACTGTATTATGTTCCTAGTCCATTAATATATTGACCTAACTTTAAATTACATGACATATCTCACCCTAATTGCTATAAACCACATCACTTATCTTTTTTTCCCCCTTCTATTTCTAAAGACACCATCTAGTTTAAATTTTGACTTATGCTAACACCTACCTGCTGATTTCTCAGGATCCCCTCTTCTCTAACACCAATCAATTCTGCTGCTTTCAGTGATCATTTCTAAGGACATAACAATTGTATTATATTATTTCACCTCTCAGAAACATTTAGTGGGCTTTTTATACTCTGTTAAAGAAAAAAAAAATACTTTCCTCTCATCTATGTTGCCAAATATATATGGATATAAAAGATTTGGCTTCTGTATTTTCTATGCCTCAATACTCTCTGTAGTCAAACCTGCTTCTCAAGAATCTACTCTCACATGTTATTGAGTGAACGTGAACAAAGGGACTCCTAAAGGGCTACTAGTACTTTATAACTTGGTCACAAACAATTCAAGTCAGTCTTATGAATATTCAATCTCAGAAGACGTATAGAAACCTGGAGTAGACATTTTTCATTGTTTGTGTAGAGAAACACTGAACCATTAAACAATATTTATTGAGCAGCCAGTATGTGCCAAGCACCTGTTAAATGGTATTAATGTTACCCTCAAAATAGCCTGTCCCTTTTTAATCTCGTGCAGACAGCCAATCTTCAAACAGTGAAGGGAAAGAAGTAACCACACAGAAAGAAGGAAGAGTGACAGTGCTGTTAAGCAGGTGGAAAATTGTAACTAGTTCTTTTATTTCTAGTTCCATTTCCAGTCTCTTGTTAAGTCTAGCGATAACTTGTTTCCTTCATTATTTTGTGAGATGTCAGCATCTCCTTTCACAGATGAGCCTATTGCCCACTTACCCAATACAGGATATGCAAGACATCCCCTGTTTCTCATACAGTGTTGCTTACCTGCTGAGGTACACGAGCACTTTTGCAGCCAATGATGGGACATGAGTTAAATAGCTTTTAGACTTTGGGATATTTGGGCATCCACTCTAAAACATTATTTTGCAGCAAACTTTGATTTATATCTCACAGTGTACTACCTAATCAGCCAGCCTCTAACACGATAAGCCTGAGGCTTAAGAGCTATATTCCCCTCTTAAAAAATTCTGTTCCTTGGCAACCTGCCTCCTCTTTGCAGGTGCAAACATTTAATGTAACTGATTATCCATGAGAGAATATTAGAGAGTTACAATGATGAGACATAGAGACATTTAGGATCTGAGGGGCAAACAAAAGGGATATAGGACCTTATGAGATTAAATACATCTTCATGAAAAGTGAGTAAGTCTTGGTCATCAGAGATCATTAGCCAAACAGATATTCTTTTATTTAAGATTTTTAAAATTTGTTTTCTTACAACCAAAGATTCCTGACTGCAGTGATGTTTTCAATGTTACATAAGTACTGTTGGAATAATTTATGTACTCCATAAAGTAAATTAAGAACACAGCATTACTTCTCCGATACGATATCCCTACAGAGACCTTCGCTCACTAACTGTCCTTTTTTTTGGTGAGGAAAATTGTCTCTGAGCCAACATCTGTGCCAGTCTTCCTCTATTTTGCATGTTGGATGCCACCACAGCAGGGCTTGATGAGTGGTGTGTAGGTCCACGCCCAGGATCTGAACCAGAGAACCCGGGGCCACTGAAGCAAAGTGTGAGAACTTAACTACTATACTACCACCAGGACAGCCTCTCTATCTTTTTTCACTAATACTAATCCTTCCCACACTGAAATTATCTCATTTATCTGGTCATTGATTTCACATAGAACATATGCTTTGTCTGTTTGTTGACTGGTGCTTTAGCAGACTAACTTCTACTTTTCCTTCATTTATGATATGGACTTGTATTCTCCAGTTGCTTTCTTTGACTACACACTCCTTCCTGATTTATGTTAATAAATTTTTCTTAAGTATCCCTCTTAGGTGCAGCTATACCACCCTTTCCATACTTATATCATAACATCAGTAAAATGTTGTATAGATTCCTTTTTTTTTTTGTCTATGTCACTAGACTGAGATAGTGTGGAAAATGAATTCTAATAATTCTTGCAATATCCGTATAAAGAAAATTTGGCAGATATTAGATATTGGGTAATTATATGCTGAGTGAAAGAACATTCTGCCTCAGTTGTTTTGGTCTAGGCAAAGCGATTGCATCCTTTTATCACTAAGTTCTATATTGCTATAGATAAGACTTTGCTATAGATAGGATAGATATTGCTATATATAGGATTATCACTGCCCTGGATTTGAATTTCAGCATAACAACTGTAGGGCTTTGAGCAGGCCTTTATACAACAATGAATCCTAGTTTTATCACCTATAAAAATAAATAGCCAGTTTATATTCTTTCACATTTAACATGATGAAGCTACCAAAGATAGAAGGGAGAGGGGAGAGAGGGAACAATAAACATAAAGTATATAACGTAAAACTGCGAAGGAACTGAAGCACTGCCCCAACTCCTAAGCGACGTGGACAGGTTTCTTTTTGTGAAGTGTGTAGTTATAATATAGTGATGTGGAGGGTAAAGGACACTGATGAATGGAAGGAGGCAGTATCAGAAATCAACAATAAAACAATAATGTCATTACTTTTTTCCTATCTCTGTCCCACACCATCCACACCACCGCCCTATGAATCCTCTTATTGTTCATTGGATTCTTCACTTTGCTGCCTTCTTCAAAGGGTGGCTAGTACTAAGTCTTTGTATAGACTGAGTTCTTTCATTTTCCTTTGTTGTATCTGCATATTCATCTTTAATTTCTTTGACTTCCTCTTGGATTTTCCCCTCATTTTCTATGTTGTTAAGAATCAATTTAAGAGCTTTAGCATGCATAGTAATTAAAGATGGAAAGAGGGGCTTGCCCTGTGGAATAGTGGTTAAGTTTGTACACTCTGCTCTGGCACCTGGGTTCGGATCCAGGGCACAGACCTAGACCACTGGTCAGCCATGCTGTGGCAGTGACCCACATACAAAGTAGAGGAAGATTGGCACAGATTTTAGTTAGCTCAGGGCTAATCCTCTTCAAACAAAAAAAAGAGGAAGATTGGTAACAGATGTTAGCTCAGGGCTAATCTTCTTCAGGGGAAAAAATAGAAAGATGGAAAAGAATATTATGGTGAAAACATCTATTGGTATATTGCAATTCCTCAAAGAATTTTCTTTCACCCCACGGGTAATTTGAAAGTTTAAGTACTGCATTTGATCAGATAAAGAATGGTTTATAATGTATTAACCCCACCTGAGCTAAAAGTATTTTGTTGTTAAAAATTTAGTTTTTAAGTGACCATTTAACACATAAAAGGATGCTCAACTTATTAATTATCAGGAAAATATAAATAAATTCACAGTAGGAGTCTGCAGTACTGATCCTGCCTGAAAATGTTAGCACTAAATATGTGGTAGCTGTCATTATTTCCACGTCTATGCTCTTATTCAGAGTCCATATTGCTTACCAGTTCTTCTCCTCTCAAGAAACCATACTATTCGTTTGTACTTTCATGAGGCCTCTCCAGATTGCCCTCACATCTTGATTTATGTTTTCTCACTATTAACTTTAGATGATTATGTCATATTGCCATCCCTAGTTTGTAAACTCTATATATTTAGTAGAACCTAGCTTATTTCCTTATACTAAACAAATATTGGTTGAATGACTAACTACTTTATCCATTTATTTTAGTTATCATGATCAAAATTTTGAGTTAATTATTCCTCTGTCCTCAAAAGCTAAAGCTCCACTTCTTGCATATGATGTATTATTTGATTTTCTCCAAGGTTACATGACTAAACCTCCAATAAACCTCTTGGATTCCAGTTATTGCTCCCCCTTTGAAAATATATTTCTATGAAGAAGATCCAAAAGTAATGCCATCCTCTCCTTACAGCTTTTAACCTTCTTTCATATTATCATTTTTTTAGTCTCCACAGAAATAACGTTTATTATTGTTAACTTTATTCTGCAAAAGAAAAACAATCTTATTTAAAAGTACTTACTTCAAAACATATACTTATTTTCACGCATTGTTTTACTCCTGTAATATATACAAGTCTATCCAATACATTAATTCACATATCTTCCTTTAAATCCTTTGATCACTTACTTAGCTAAATCTCTAAATCAAGATTGTAAGTATGAATGATTGCTTCTCTATTTCCTTTTAAATGATAAGTATTTTTGATAATCTTTGTCAAATGAAATTTTAACTAGGTTAAATTCCAATCCAAGTGATTAAAAGACATCACTTTAGAAATAATTAAAAGATAATTCATGCTAATTCTGAAACCAAACCACTGAAGTCTGTAACTTAATAATAGTGTTCAGTTTTCTAGCTAGATAAGGGACTAATTATTTGAAGATTTAACAATGCCAGGTCCTGTCAAATTCCTCAATGGTTACAGAATCTTGTGAATAACAAGGTAATAAAATCCTTTAACTTTAGTACAAATGTGTGCTCTAAAAAAATACCAAGACTCAAATTGGAGTCTAGAAACCAATGAGTTAGTGTAATGCCAAATGCACATAAAAATAGGTTCTGCAAATTTCCCAGGAGAGATGATTCATTACTTTGAAGAGGTCTATCAGAAAGATGTTACATTGAGTTATTTCCTCTAGTTTCTCTCATTTATCCTTCACTTGCCAGTATATGTGAGAAATACAGTGTCTGGACTGATATTTCTGCGTAATGTTCATCTTTTGCTCTCAGTTCCTGGGGCTTTGAACATGCATGTGTGTATTTTTGCTAGGAAATGATGGCATAATCAATTTTTGAATAGTGATGTTCTCTGAGTAATTATTGAGTAATTAATCATCTAGCATTATTTAAAACTGCCCATATTCGCAAGTGAAACATTCATGCTTTGAAATCTTGTCTGAGGCCCATCAACACATTAAGAGTGAATTATTTTATGTAAGTCTATATTTGTTTACAATTTCAGTTTTTATTTCATTGTACTAAAGATATTTATTGTGGTCAGTATCATCCATGCTTAGGATTTTTTTTCTATTTTGAGAAAAAATGTCACTGGGATTTTGATAGGGATAGTATTGAATCTGTGGATCAATTTGGGTAATATTCAGATTTTAAGAATATTAAGCCTTCCAATCAATGAACACAAGATATCTTTCTATTTACTTGCATCTTCTTCAATTTCTTTCATCAAT